CTGGGTTCTAGTCCCCAGAGGAACCAGAACCAGAGGGTTCTGGGTTGGAGTCCCGGGGGAACCAGGACCTTTCTGGGTGGTTCTGCATGTTCTCCTGTGTCTGTGGGTTCTCTCCGGGTTCTCCGGCTTCCTCCCACCGTCCAAAAACCTGCATGTTAGGTTGTTGGACTCCAAACTTCCCTTAATGTGAGTGTGTGTGGTTGTTGGTCCTTGTGTGTCTCTGTGTGTCCCTGTGATGGACTGGGGACCGTCCAGGGTGATCCCGCCTCTCCCCATTGGCTACTGGGATAGGCTCCAGTCCCCCCCCCCAACCCTATTAGGGAATAAGAGGTTATGATAATGGTTGGATGAATATTTGAGATAGTTAGATAAGCAACTTCAAATGGATATCATGAAATTGAAATAAATAGCCTATTTTCTGCTAGCTGTCTCAGAACTACTGGTCCTCAGTTTGTGAGTAATTTTATTCGGTCTGTTGTACTTAAAAGAATGTGTGTGTGGACAGTTGTCAGTCCAGTGATTCAGCATATCTGACTTGGAATTTGAAGTTAAACTTGTCAGCTCAGGTTTTCCTCCTTTAATAGTTTTGGAACTTGGGCGTCCCGGTTTGGGTCTGAATGTGGTTCCCGGGTCTGATTTGCTCTGTTAGCAGCCTAGCTAGCTCAGCTCTGCTGCTGCTGCTTTCTGGCTGAAGGCTGAAATTAGGAGCTGCTTTTAGACTTGTTGCATTCTTGTGTTTCCGTGGCCCGCCGTCACTTCTGAAAACACACTGGTGGCTGTGGTTTTGTGGACGTGGTGCAGATCCTCCGAACTCAGAGGGGGGAGGAGGAGGGGGAGGATTTGCTTTGTCCTGTTGTATTACGAAGCCTGTTAGCACCCTGTCCTCTTTGTTAAACCAAGTGGGGTAATTACAGCTTCTTTATTGCACCTGAAACCTCCAGGTTTCTGCCTGTTAAAAGGAAGTTTTTCCTTGCCTGTGTCGCCTAGTGCTTGCTCATGGTGGGAATTGTTGGGTTTCTGTAGTTAACTTCAGAGTAGGGTCTGACCTGCTCTGTTTGGAAAGCGCTGTGAGACAACTGTTGTTGTGATGTGGCGCTATATAAATAAAATTGAATTGAATTGAACTGAATTGAACCTGTAGCACAAAACGGGGAGTGAAATGACCAGACCAGGCTGTGTATGACACCCTTAACTCGGCCGGGTTTAATCCTGGCTGATCGTCTGTTGTTTTCCCTCTGTATCCTAACCCTGAACCACATGTGGAAGAGTCCTTCTGGCAAAAAACTGAACCCCATGTTGCCACATATGTGGGCAATACGTACCGGTAAACTCTGCCAAAGCAAACACTGACTGGTTGGTGTTAGTGTTGAACACACAGATGACTGAGAGGGTGTTTCCTTCTTCAAATATTATCTCTCTTTCTTGACGTTTGATTCCAGACGGATTAGATGTCACGTCGCACATCTGCCGCTCACCTAAACCCAGCCAGATCTTTGACGGCTCAAAAAGAAAATGGCCACTTTTTCTGCCTTTTTTGGGGGGGATGGAGAGGATCTGCTAGCATCCTGCACTCTGTGTTTGGATCCGTTTTTTTCTGTCCAGCTCAAAATTGTTCGCCGAGTGTTCCTTAAGTGGTTTTAGTGACTTGAACTCTAATAAAGAGAGGCGGTTTTCTTTTTTAATATTTTTAAATGCTCAGCACAGGACTCCAGAGTGAAGTGCTGCTGCTGTGTGGCTAGCTTCTTTCTCATTGGCTGGACCAGTTCCATCTCAAGGAGCTTTTCCTCCAACCTGCTCACCTGAGCACTATTTGATGGAGGTCACCCACCTGGAGGAGTAAACTACAGCCAGAGCAAGTATCTGACGGCAAACTATAGCACTCACAGGTTAAAGGCCATGCAAACTAGGGATGTCCCGATTCAGCTTTTTGTAGTCCCGGCCTATCAGAGCATGGATTAAAGTTTACAGTTATTTATCTGCTTACTTAGTTGTCAGACTCATGTTGAACAGGGATTTACTCTGATAACAACTTAACGGTTAGGACACAGACCTGGGGGTCAGGAGATGCTAATGCTAACGCTAACAGGCTGTTCTCTCTGCTGGCGTCAGGCCGTCCACCTCCACCTGAACATACCCGTGTTATTTGATTCTTTTTGCTCTATGCTTGTGGTTTGGGTGTGGACCGGGTAGAGACTGTTCCTCAGTGGTTGTGTACCGGCTATAACTGTGTTTGTGGACTGATCAAAGTCTTGAATCCTGCCCTGTTCTCCACAGCTATATTTATCTGAATTTGATTAAACTATCATGCGCACGCGGCAGTCCTTTTCCACTGATTTGGGTATTACTGAGGAAAACTTTGGACCTTTGACCTGAAAACCGTTTGACACTGATAAAAGAATATCCTGCTCTCTCATCGCTTCCCCTGACAAAAGCAGAAGAGCTGATATAGTTTAATGAAGCTGCAGCTCTTAAACGACATGGAGGGCTTTAACATGGTCAGCAACAAGAGGGGAAACGTGGTTAAAAACATTACCCTGAAGATTTCTGCTGTGGGCACTAGGGATGTCCAGATCCCGGCCTATCAGAGCCTGTATTAAAGTTCAAAGTTATTTATCTACTTACTTAGTTGTCAGACTCATGTTGAACAGGGATTTACTCTGATAACAACTTAATGGTTAGGACACAGACCTCTGGGTTAGGAGATGCTAATGCTAATGCTCGTGTGGGATCGGACTTAAAAAAAAACTGGATCAGGAGTCTGGATCTGCATTTTCTCCTGCAGTCCAGATCCGATATTTGGATCGGATCGTACTTTCTCTCCTTTTGTGTGTTGTATTTACCTCCCACAGCTAGATGACACGCTCTTAAACCCGGTGTGAGATTGATAAAAGACTCTGGAGCTGACCATGCCGAACGCTTCACTTTCCATCGCCTTTAAAAACTGCGTGGCGCTGTTGTATTCATTCAGAAACAACCCGGCTTCCACCGGCGTCCAGATGAGTCACACCACGTCCTCTCCACCCAGAGGCTGACTCAGTGTGTGTGTTTTTGGGTGGGACTCTCTCTCCAGGCTAGCGGCCTAAACCCACAAACAGAGCCGAGGAAGGCAGCTTTGCAGCTGAGACTGTTGTCCGAACACAAAGCAGTTCCTCTTTATCTGCCATTTCCAAAAATAAACACGTAGCTGCTTTCAAACGTGATAGATGACTCGGTTTTTAGGGTTTAGGCTTGTAACTGTCACCAAATGCAAGCAGAGAAACGGAAAGTTTTCGCAAGAGTGAAGACATCCAGAGTCTAAAGTGTTGTTTGTGGCTGGACTCTGGACTGGTCCTCTTAGGTCTGAATCTGAAGGCTTGTATCTTAAGGAACTACCAAATTCCCAGTTCGGAGAAAGTTAACAGCCCACAGACAGCTGCCAACTCAGTAGATCTCCGGTTTTTGGAGCAGTCGGGGTAATGACGTGGTTACAGGGAGCTGCTTTGTCTGAGAGGTCAGCTGCTGTACACTAAACCACTTATTAGTCCAGTCAATGAAAGTGCTAAAGTGGGGAGTTTTACCCTGTTATTTAGGGCTATGGCTGCATAAAAGAGGGGCAAGAACTTGACCTAAGCGCCCAGTTGAAATAGACCCTGATGAAGGGGAATTTCCCCTTGTGGGGTGAATGAAGTGTGATTTTATTGTATTTTAAAAGAAAAAGACTCCATTTTGAGTTCAAAATGATGGTATATATGGGACATTGGATAATGTTAATATTATTGTTTAGCTTTTTTTTCTAGTTACTAATCATAATAGAAGTTTATTTAAGGCCAGTATGTTGATTTATAAATAAGATTAAGGGAAAAAAACCTTTTTATTAACATCCTTTTGTTCCTTCTCATAAAGGAAACCTGTAACATCAAACTGTTAAACAGCATTCAAACAGTGAGCGTAATTATTCTTAGGAGGAGGAGCTGAAATAATAGCTTTAGTACATTTATAGGGATGGAAGTTGTTGGTATAACGCATGTTGATATTTATCCTTAAATTGAACTAAACTGCTCACTCCCCTTTCAATTGAACCTCTCTTTTCTTTTCTTTTTTTTCAGGAAACAGAAATTGCTGCTGAGTGTAACCACGTAAGTGTATCTCCCCTAAAACCTCCCTTCCCAGCATGCACCATGTCATCCCGTATGTGTGTCTGTGTGTGTCTCCTCTATGGAGTTTTATGCATGTGAAATCAGATGAGTTTAAATGTTTATCTACCAGATGAATTGCACTCTTTTTGTCCATTTTGTTAGTTTTCTGCTCTCCTCAACTCCTCAGGATTTTAAATCTTATTTAAGCCACTGGTTTGATGTTGGAAAACTCAGTGAGATGGTTGTAATAGATAGATCACACAGTAAAGGTATATTGTGTTAAATATCGGAGTTAAAAGATTTTTCATTTTGTTTTGGAGAACAGAAATTATGTTTATGAAATATTTTTGTCTTTTCGGTTCCGTCGGGTCTTCAGTTCACAAGTGTCTCTTGGTTAAGTTGGTTCTGACCTTTTAATCTTCTCTCTTCTCTGTCCAGTTACTGTGGAACTACAAACTGAACCTGACTACTGATCCAAAGTTTGAGTCCGTTGCAGTGGAGGTCTGCAAGACGACAATTTCTGAGGTCAGATCCCAAAAACCAACATTTTGCATTTTAATAAGATAAGATAAGATAAGATCAAAACTTCCATGAAGAAATGGTAAAAGCTGAATGTTAAGTAATAGATATGCATTTTGGGGTATATTGTTTTAAAATGGCTTACTAATTTGTGTTCATGATTTATTCTTTTTACTCTACCAATTAGTCTAAATTGTAATTATTTTAGTTGACAGATGAAGTTGGCAAGTCACTAAGCTAATGCACATAAGACGGACATTTGGCAATCAATTAAAAACATCAAATCTTCTTAAGGAAAAGATATGAATACTCATGAAATGATGTTAATATTATGTAGCACACTGGACTTCTACAGGGGAACTGAGCATGTTTACTGGCAACATAAATCGGGAAATTTTTAATAGGATGAAAGAAATGAGCTTTTGTCATTCCACCTCAAACTTAATGACACCGTTCAGTAGCACCTGTTGAGTTCCTTTTAAATGAAATTGATAAAAGATTAGTTAGCATGAAATCATAAACAGTCTAGGTTTGAATGAACTAAACAGATTATTAAAGGGTCGCCCTGTTTTTTTATTCTCGTTTGAACTAAAGTAAAGCTTTCTCTCACACAGATTAAAGAATGTGCCACGGAGCCACTGGGAAAAGGCCTCCTGGTGTCCTGTCTGGTGGATCACCGTGGCAACATAACCGACTACCAGTGCAACCAGTACATCACCAAGATGACCAGCATCGTCTTTAGCGACTACAGACTGATCTGTGGTTTTTTGGACAAGTGTCTGGTGGACATCAACGCCCTGCACTGTGGCAGCATCAGCACCGGAGACAAGGTAAAACTTATTTATTTATTATTTATTTATTATTTATTTGTCTGACTCATGTTTAATAGGGATTTACTCTGATAACGCCTTAATGGTTAGGACACAGACCTGTGGGTTAGCAGATGCTAATGCTAATGCCAATGTGGGAACAGACTTAGAAAAAAAAAAAAGTCAAACTGAATTTAACTTGGATTCAGATGTATTTGAGCTTCAGTTTTGTGCTCTTTAAAAATCCACAGTGACAATTTACCATCTTTAGGTGTTTTCCGTTCAGTTCTACTGATTCGTTTAACCTTTGATCTTTCCAAAATACTCCTCATCTTTGTTGCTAAAGTCTTTAGCAGTTTCTTTATGTTGAATGTCTTCTCCATTTCTTTCTTATGATTTCTACTTTTCCTTATCTGTCCTTTTCCCTTCAAATTAATCATAGTATTCATACTGATTTATTCAAAATTTGACTTTTTTCGGCTCAAATACAATTTCAAAAATTCAAATCAAGCTTTTATACACATTCAAATTAAGATTTCGTGGCCATACTAATTTTTTCCTGCTTCTAATGACATGCTTCTTCCACTCTCCCCTTTATCTTTAAATGATCCTTTAGCTATTGTTCCTTTCCGCCACATTTCAATGTGTTCTTGTCTGACTCAGAGGTTGCAAAAAAATGCAGCTAAACACAATATCACAACGAAGGTAGTCCAGATCGGAGGCTTGTCTAAAAAGACCATTTGGTTTCGTATGAATTAATTGAAATTCATTCAAATGCAAGACTGTTTTGAGAAATAACACAGACCTTTGTCAGTCTGTGTAATTGTGGCTCTCTGTGCAGGACATCCACTCTCAGGGGGAAGTGATTGCCTGTCTGGAGAAAGGTTTGGTGCGAGAGGCCGAGGAACAGCCGGGTGCACACCACATCAAGGAGAACTGTAAGAAGGCCATCATGAGAGTGGCAGAACTCTCCTCTGATGACTTCCACCTGGACCGGTACCTGTACTTCGCCTGCAGAGATGACCGCGAGCGCTTCTGTGAAAATGTGAGTATACAGGGGGCTGCCACGGCTTATATTATACAAATACACACATCCAATGCGAAGGTTCTGGTCCCCATTTCCTTATTTATCATTACCTTGTTCCACATGAAGAGAAAAAGGGGAACAACTGGACCAGCTGTACACCTAATTAGATTTAATAACTTCCTCATATTGTCCATCAATGATCCCTTTTTTCCCCCGAAATCCAACTTAATTCAAATGTATGATAGTTTTCAGCACTTTTTCCACACGAGTTGGCAGGACCTTGGTTATAGTCTTGCCTTCTACAATAAGCAAGCAAATGGGTCCATAATTAAAGGTTGCAGTGTCTCCCCATCTTTTATGGTACAAGTGATAACTAATTGTACCTAATTTATTCTCTTAACAAGATATTTTTTCTGTTTTCCATTCAAAAACAGTTAATATTCCATGTCTTATTTTCCTGTGAACCGGAGGAATTGTTTTGAATTTTTAAAGATGGATATTGATGAAAAAACGCGGGTTTAGATCCATTTTCTCCATGTTTGCTGTCCTAAAAGTATTATGGAGGTTAAATGCCTAATGTGGTCATATTCTTGCTGTGATTTCTCTGTATTCGTTTTCTTTTCAGACACTGGCTGGGGAGGGCAGAGTCTACAAATGTCTCTTTAATCACAAGTTTGAGGAGGCTATGTCTGAAAGGGTGAGTTCTGTTCCATTTAACTTACATCCCCCCCCTTTGCCTTAATGCTTTTCAGAAAAAGTACTTTACAATCATTTCACAAGGGGACAAAAATCCCCTTGTCAAATGAGTAAAGAGCATCTTGAGATGAGAGATGATTGTCATATTTCTGAAGCAAAAAGAGCAGAATATGTATTTAAACTGGAGTATTTTGGTGACGTCAGACTAAATCCTGTAAAAAGTCTCAGCTAAAACACCCGGTGACACTGAGTCTGGCCGTGTCTCCAGTGCCGTGAGGCGCTGACCACCAGGCAGAAGCTGATCGCTCAGGACTACAAAGTCAGCTACTCGCTGGCCAAAGCCTGCAAGTCGGACCTGAGGAAGTACCGCTGCAGCGTGGACTCCAACATGCCGCGGGCCCGGGAGGCCCGTCTGTCCTACCTGCTGCTGTGCCTGGAGTCCGCTGTGCACCGAGGTAAAGGAACTCCCCTCACAGGGAAATGCACTCTCATCCAAAAGGTCCGGCACCGTCATGGGTCAACAACCTGGAATCGGTGTCTCTGAATCTCAGTCTTTCATGTAAAAACTGTAAATTGAGGAAATGTATGTAGTTGGTTTGTTATTTATGGTTTAGAATGAAATATATTTTGTTAAAGATAAGATAAGAGCATCTCCTATCCTTTAAAAAAAAAAAATTTTTTTAATTGTATTTATTTATTTAGTTACTTAATTTTTATTATTTTGTATTATTTATTTAATTTTTCTTTCTTTTTATTTATTTACCCATTCGTTTATTTATTCTTTTTTTTTTAAATTAATTAATTTATTTTTACTTATTTATTATTTTATTTATTATTCTTTTTTTTTTCCTATCCTAACTCTTACCCCTCTACTCCTCTGTCTGCACTTCCCCTCTCTCTCTTTGCTGTCACCACTGTTTCTGAGTAGGGATTTTCTCTAGAGAACTTGTTGTCATATTGATGATAACTTTATAGATAAAATTCTGTCTACCTTGTAAGTCGCTTTGGATAAAAGCGTCTGCTAAACGCATAAACATAAACGAAGAATATTGTTTGTTTTCCTGAGAGGATCTTGAACTGAGCCCGCTGGTTGTGCTGTATATATATGTTATATATATATATATATGTTTGCTGGTGTGTTTTTCAGGGCGCATAGTCAGCGGCGAGTGTCAGGGCGAGATGATGGACTACCGGCGGATGCTGATGGAGGACTTCTCCCTGAGTCCGGAGATCGTGCTGAACTGTCGCAGTGAGATCGAGGGCCATTGCTCCGGTCTGCACCGCAAAGGCCGGACCCTGCACTGCCTCATGAGGGTCGGGCGAGGAGACATGGGGGCCATCGAGCCCAACTGTCAGAAGGCCGTGAGTCGGGAATAGTGTGGAATATCTTTTTTTTCTTTACGAGCTATTGTTTTCCTGTTTTACTTTTTCTGCGTCTAACTACGCCCCACAGTTTTCAGCCTATTTCATTGAAATTTTCAGCCTATTTCAATCAAAATGATCAGGTCCTTTAGCGCTATGCAGCTATTACTTTTGGTGTTCAAATCTTTAATTTTTTGAGTTATTTGACTTTTTCTGCTTTTACTTTCTCTCATTTAAATGAACGGAGTCAAAAGCATGGCTCCATCTACTAGTCACTGGCATTTCAGCCCCTTTATATTCTTAATTTTAGTCCTATGCAGCCTTTCTGACTGGGGTCTAGCTCAATGGTAGAGGCTTTGCCTCCAGTTTGAGAAGTGGCTGGTTCAAATCCCATTAAAGTCCTTAGTTCTTCTAATACTTTTGCCTTTATTCTCCCACTCTATCCATGTCTCCTTCAGCTTTTCTTTGGCTTCTTCTGGTTCCCCCCTTCAGCATTTCTTCTAATCCTTTTGCCTTTCTCCTTCCACTCTTCAGTTCTATTTCTTTTTCAGCTTTTCTGTGGCTTCCTCCATTCAGCATTTGGCGTTCTCACAGCTGTTCCTCAAGAAAAAGCCTATTCTAGTGAACAATTAATTTTTCTCTTACAATGAATAAGTTGCAAATCCAAAGAGCCATTGTTCTGGAAATCTATACCTTCTATTTCCATGCTCTCTCTTTGTTGAGACCCAGTGAGGGAGTCCTGTTTGTATTGCTTTAGGTTTAGAGTCTGCTTATTACATTCAAAATACTGACGACGTGGAAAGAAAGAATAAAAAACAAAAATTTTCTGGTCCCATGACTGGGCAAATGCCAAGGCTGTGTCAGGACGACACATTGTGGTGTTTCATAAGTTATCAGCAGACGGCACTAATCAATGCTGCCTTATTTTCTTTAAATAGAGTTCACTTTGTCACCATAGGGCTGTGATATGATACGAGGCTGAATGTAAAACATTCCTCTCCATGTGAAGCTGGCTTTATGGATATAGTTTTTTTTGTTTTCTTTTAGGTGACATCAATAAACCCTGTAGCTAATAACCTCTGGCAGACATATATTCATATTTATTTGCTGTTCTTTTGCCACTTAGATGAGACTGGAGTTCTTCGAATAATTGAATAAATTGATAATTGTCTATATATATCTGGAACTCTTTGTCATCTGACATCCGAAATACCGACTCTCCCTCTTTTCAAAACAAAACTCAAAACCCACCTTTTTAAAATTTCTTGCCCACTTCACCACCCCTAACTCTAACATTCCCCTTATTCTGCACAGTTTTATTCATTCCACTTTTATTTAATTCATTTATGCAGTTTTTATTTATGATGTATTTATGACTTTGTATGTTTCCTTATGTTTCAATGTTGTTTTAATGACGATCGTCTTTGTAAAGTGTCCTTCAGTGGCATGAAAGGCGCTTTTTAAAAATAAAATTTATTATTATTATTATTATTATTGTTATTATTAAAGACTTTACTGCTGGCTTCTTCAAGATTGAAGCCTCTGACAAAGAAGCAACGTTTATTTCCAAAAGATTGTTTCTGTTAGAGTTCAGCATAGTCGAAATGTTTTTTTTTTTTTAAAGGTGGGAAGCCTTTCATAGGTGACAGCTTTTCCCAGTTAATGCTTTTCATATGGACTCCACAATTACATGTTATGTTTACCTTCCATTTGTTTTTGCGTTTATAGACTGTGTTTAGCTTATTCGTCTTTTTCTTTCTCCAAAGCTCCAAGCATTGATCCAGGAAGCGGACCCGGGGGCGGACTATCGCATAGACCGCGCCCTCAACGAGGCCTGTGAGTCCGTCATCCAGACGGCCTGCAAACACATTCGCAACGGGGATCCCATGTGAGTCCCCTCAGGAGGTTTATCACACATACCAACCTGTAGATCTGCTCTCATCAGTTTAGCATTTTTCACATGCTTTGAGTTGCTGTTCGACATTAAATGTTGGCATTTAAAGACCGAAGACTGATTTGAAGTGTTTGTGTTGCTGACCCCGCAGGATCTTGTCCTGCCTGATGGAGCATCTGTACACGGAGAAGATGGTGGAGGACTGTGAGCACAGGCTGCTGGAGCTACAGTACTTCATTGCCAGGGACTGGAAGTAAGCTTTACTGATTTCCTAATCAAATGAAAATATTCTTTTAATTACAAACTGCCACCAAACAATGATTTAGTTGGGAATGACTTTGCGTCCACCATGTGACGTGTTTGTGTTTCTGTCTCTTTTCACACAAGACAAAATGGCACACGTGCAATAGAGACAGTTCTATCGGGAACATTCTGCATTTGATGTGTGCGTCTATTAGGGTTGTCACGATACTAACATTTTCAACTCGATACTCGATACTCGATAAATCTTTGATACTCGATACCATTTTCGATACCACAAGGATAAAAAAAAGACCCCAAAATGTAACTGAATTTTGACAAGTTAGTGTCTTGGGTTTCAAACTGACCTATTAGTGATGTTATGGTGGCCCACATTAATGACCCTAACCCTAACCCTCCACACTTCATTATTGTGAGAAATAAATATTTTTTGTTTCAGTTTGTTTGGACTGATTGTACAAACCTATTTAACATACACTATTTTAACATAATATTATGTATAAAGTTTAATTAAGTGTTTGCGATATTAATTTCACTACTTTTGAATTAATGTGTATATTGCCATGAAGCAATTAGGATTTTCTTGCCTGGGATTTTCCTATTGGTGACCTAATCAAAATGGCCGACTTGGGTGTGGGCGGAGTTTGATATCCATCCTTGGCTTCCTGCAGACTTGGTTAATGTTGGCGTGTTATTATTAGCCATTAGCCGCAGCTAGCAATTCAAGGCTAACATCACGTTAATGATCATAAACAACCTAAATAAATAAGTAAATAAATCAATCAGAGAAAATAAATATCGTATCCGGATACAACGTTTTAGTATCAATATTTTTTTGAGTATCGATACTTTTGACAAACCCTTAGCGTCTATTAAATTCCGACTTTCATAGGTTTGCTTTTTGCTCCTGAGTGTGTACCCCACGTGTGTGTGTTTACGTCATCTAACTGGGAAAAAGGGGCTCCTGGCATAGATTCAGTTTAGAATATCAGCCAAGCTCTTCACGTGGTTTGGATGAGTTCATAACTAAACGATTGCCCGTCCTGTTTCTAAGGCTGGACCCGATCCTGTATAAGAAATGTCAGGGCGACGCCGCCCGGCTCTGCCACACCCACGGCTGGAACGAAACCAGCGAGATGATGCCCCCGGGGGCCATTTTCTCCTGTCTCTATCGCCACGCCTACCGCTCTGTGGAGCAGGGCCGGAGGGTAAGTCTGTCCCCACAGGCCCCCCCTCTGATCCGACTTATACAGGAGTCATTCACACTACACGTGACTTAAACTTAACCGGATTTCACCGTCATATCTAAGTCAGTCAGAGAACCCACTCAAAATACAGAAAATACAGCATCTGCTGATGTTGCCAAATTGTCTTTGTCTCATTTCTTGGCCCCTTTCCACGGATAAGCCCCTAACCAACATTTCTTGTCTACACCTGCTGGCATTGTTCACTGAGGAGTCTTTATTTTTGCTCCAAATCTGAGCACCAATAACAGCTAACAGCAAATTTAAGTAAATTAATTATTGACTCACTAGATTCTTTTTCATATAAAAAAAAAAAGTTGAATCACACAGCGTCAATGTCCATGTAGTGTTGCATAACTTAGAGCAATGTGTTTATATAGAGGAAAGGAAAAGTATAATGGACTCTGATTGACCTGAGGATATTCTCATAGCTTCCCAGTTGGCGTTTGAAGCAGACAGCCAGACTGTGAGTACGTCTTGTTGCCAACCAGATGATAGTAATTTCTGCCTGCAATGGTGATTTATGGTTGACGATTGTTTACAAGTTTCAGTGCATGTTGGTTTAATTATTGACGTGAGCTCCTGAACTGTGATGTGAAAAATCAAACAATTGCTCGGATTAATCAACTCGCAAATTGAGTTTTTGAAAAAAATCAACAATGAAACGTCCGACAGCTGCCATTTAAAGTTGTTTAATCTTGTGCCTCCCTGTTGTTTCTATCATTATACTTCTTTTTTGTGAATAAGTCTGTAGAACATATCCAATCCAAAGGAGGTAAACAGCCCAGTTTCACTCTGTCTCAATTTAGATTTTGATGTGACTTCTTAAAAATGAGCCAATTGATCATTTGTTTATATCTTTTTAAGAATTTGGTCAATTGATTCTAACATTTAAAACTGGTACTCACCCCCCCCCTCCAGCTCTCCCGGGACTGTAAAGTGGAGGTCCAGAGGATCCTCCACCAGAGGGCGCTGGACGTGAAGCTGGACCCTGAGCTGCAGAGGCGCTGTATGACCGACTTGGGGAAATGGTGCAGCGAGAAAACGGAGGCCGGGCAGGAGCTGGAGTGTCTGCAGGATCATCTGGAGGATCTGGTGACAGACTGCAGAGATGTGGTCGGAAATCTGACAGAGCTGGAGTCAGAGGTTCGAACACATTACTTTAACCCTATAACGCCATATGTATCAGATTTGATACATTAAATGCATCATTTGATGGTAAAAACTTTGCTCAAA